CAACTTAAATGACTCTGAGTAAATAAGCTTTTATTCATGAATTACTGATAGTTTGGAGGCCCACTCACACTCAATAAATTAAGCGCTTAATGCAGTCTTAAGTATGCATTCGTATAAAATCGTCCAACTGTAAAGCCAGAGAATTTGGGTCTTTATCAGTCTCGGAAAATTTCCAAATTCAAATACTTTAATTTAATTTTATTCGTCTATCGAGTCGTATCGGCTCACTAAAAATCGGCTATCCCGACCAATACCGGCTACTCCTTCACGTGTCTAGCCTACTAATTAGGTTAGCTTTTACTGCGAATAATGTCCGTTCCTATCTTTTGCTCTATCATTTTCTGAGAAAGGCCTAATTAATTTAATATAGGCTTTCTTTAGGACTTTGTTGGTGGGAGAAATTATGGCGGGTGTGTGGCCACCCATTCCCACTGGGAATGAACGCAAATATCTGCATATGTATGAAGGCAAGCTGGGTCTCGAAGAATCTCCGAGTGATTTATCGTGACATGACCTTTCATTTTAAAAGTTGGTTGTAGGAAATTGTCATTTAATTGGTTGTCATGACGGGAAGCTTATATGATTGGGCCATGAAGTCATCGGCGCTGAGCTTACATTCTTCCTGTCGTGACAAACGTTGTCATGGTGAGAAGTAAGAATTTAGAAAAAACACACCAAATACAGTAAACCAAGAAAAGAGGCCGGCCGGCTGTGATAACGCTCACTTTCTATGCCTAACTTTGCCATCCTAACGAAGCATCTAATGATTAACTTGGCTATCTCATGCTCAGCATACATTCATGCAGATGCTGGAGTTTTATGCATGAAACTGAAGTCGCACAATTCAGCAGTCTCGACTCCACGACAATAAAACCTCTTTCATTTACGGATGAGACCAATTGATGAATTACTTTCATCCAACCATTCCTTCGAAATGTAGACTCATGTCACAGGCCACCACATGTCGGCCCAAGAGGACAAAAGCGGATGCAACCGCGTTTTGAATGAAGGACCACCGCCAGACGTAGAGGCATTTGTCGTCTGTCCATTTTGCGGTGAGTCTTGTACTTTCTCGCCAACTAAGAAGATCCAGAATACGGTCACTTTGGCCAGAATGCCCCAACACTCTTGGTCCAGCTTGCCACCACGTGATCGGTCAGATGACGGCCATCCTTTGAATGCAGGTCTGGAAGACACACACATACACACAAACATACAAGCATACAAACACACACACACACACACACACATATATATATATAGCCGATTAGGTATGGATTACGCCTTTCTGACTGGCCGCGCAGTCAGGCCGGGCTCAG